GCCTTCATAGGAGGCCTTGGTTTAATTTCTGATGTCAGGAGCTGCAAAGGAGTATGAACTAAACTCACGCAGTGCGGTACCTCTGACCGCAGGCTGACAGCTGGAGCCATGCCTCCAGTGCAAAGCATGCAGGAGGGAAAATCCAAATGCCTTCTATCCATGTTTTAGTTGCTTTAAGTGGCAAAGACTCCCAAACCGTGTATTGCTACCTCTTAGCAAAGAACGATTGCCTGTGCACTACTAGAGGAACGTCCCAGCTGTTAATTTAGAGTCCAAAGCTAAGTAAGTTTTACTAGAGTGAATTTATGACTGCTCATTATTTAACTTAGTCTAGGATCATAATTAAAGATAGTACTCTAAGGCGAATTCCCACTGATGGGAAACAGCATCATTTGAGACTCCAGCAAAGAGTAATCAGACACCTTTGGGGAAGTAATCAGGCATCTGTGAAAGAAAACTCTGATGTCAAGAGCCCCTCGCATGGGATGCTTGTTTAAGTGTTGTGAGGCTTGCAGCACATTTAATGAGACAGAAAGGTTAAAGGGGTTTTTTTCAGCATTAAAAAAACATGAAGGGAAGGAAACAACACTTGATGGTCCTAATCAGCAGCAAAATAAAACGGGCAAATATTGTTGCACATGGGGTACCACCTAAAACAAGGAAATGAAACACCTTTTCCTCCAGAGCTTCAATGCCTACACCTTTTCTGAAGCAAGCAATGTTTTGTAAATACATCTCTGCTTGATGGGACAACATGTGAAAGTAGTAAGGAACATGCAGACTTAGATGGACTTTTATGTAAGAATTCTGCCTATTTGTCCCCGAAGAGCAATATCCACTTTTAAGCTGATAAATAATTAGCAATCCCTCTAGCATAGCTGCTTGAAAGAAGCCCACGAAAAGGCAGGAGCACGATATGCGATGTGACAGGGCAACACAGTCCTGGGCCACAGAGGACAGGCAGAGAAGAAAGGAGGCAATTTTAACACAGAGGGTCATGTGCAAAAAATCAGACACTGTCACTGATACCTACAGTATCTGATGAATATTTTACAAATACATTCCTGGTTTAATGTATCTGTACAGAGAACCTCTAACTTTTCAAAACTGCATAAATCAGCACACTGGTGAGCCTTCCTGTTAGATTTTACAGGCCCGATGATCTGCATGATTTAACAGCAAGATCCACTTTATATACATATATATCTCTGAAAGTTTCATCTTCTTAAAAAATACCATTGTATGAGGGTTTATTATCAATCCACCAGTTGCTACAATTACATAGCTGAGCAGTATTTCTCCTCAATGGTATATTTCAGAAATAAGATATTTAAAGACGATCTCTATGGTTTCTTGAAACAGCTCCAGGGTCAACTTAAGAATTAAGCTCAGCTCATGGGCTCTGATTCAGCAAAGGTCTTATGCATATGCTTTCATTCCAGGCATACAAGCTGTCCTCAAGAGAACTGTTTTAAATCAGCTTTTGCCAGCAGGAGGAAGGAATGAGATAATGGAACCAGAGAAAACTCTCCTTGCTAAATACTAATGCAACAGGAAAACTGGAGTTTTTGCTCCCAAGTGAAAGATTAGCCCTTGACGCTATTTGAAATTAGCTAAAATATTTTCTCCATCTTGTATTCTGATGATTGAAAACACCGTCCATCCCTGCATTGCCTCTTTCAAATTAAAAAGGAGGAAGGAGGAGAGTAACTGCAAAACAAAAGGCTGGTAACATTCATACTGGCTAACAAACTAGATCCAAATGCACTGACAATTTTGTTTGACCTAAAATAGCCTTTCCCAGAAGATATTTTATTTACTAAATTCCACCACTTCGCTTAGGAAATACTCAGAGGACTGGCATAAAGTAAGAAATGGTTTTCCTCCAGTGTGTCTGCAGGTTATGCTACCGGTCATGGCTCTGTGACCTGAGATAGCTTTGATAGCTGGGAGAAAAGACATTCCTGTTTGGTGCCAAGCTGCTCAGGATAGCGCGTTTGTCAACGGACAACTGCATCGCTTTGTGCCGATCTGAAATTCCCCATTCACCGGGGAATTCTGAACATTATTCTGAACATTATGCAAATTGTTCTGGGCACATTTTCCTCCAAAATAAGAAAGGCTTACATAACGAACGCTACACTGTTTTCTAGATTAGCAGTACTGCCCACAGACTTAATAGAGTGTGACAGAGGAAACAAATTGCGAAAATTCACACCGACAAACAAATCCAAACTTCCCCTCCAGAGTCGAAGACCATCACAAACCATATCACCTTGCAGCAAGTAAAAGACACATTTTCGTGACCTTGCCTTTTTTTCTACAACACACAAACCTAAGCATGGGGAAGGCTGAGAGAAGCCAACATGTGACAGCCATTGGTCACATTGCTTAATGCAATGTGGAAAGCATTGAGATGCAACCATGAGGTGTGCAGAAGAATCTGCATAAAACAAATTTGTTATGCTAACCCTACACTCTCATATTTGTATGCTAGCCCGTCTGGCTGAGAAGTGCTCGGTGCACTTGGCTTCTCAGTACTTTTGCATGAATGACACTATATAAAGAGGTACTGTATTTACTAGCTGAATAAACAATAGGTTTTGCTTTCACTCAAGTATTATGACTTCAACTCATTTTATTTATATGTCAGTAGTTCAGAATGTGCAGTGGACCAGGCACATCATCACTGTTCACCTTTGTCAAAGAAGGGGCCAGAAACATCCACGCTGTTAAATCTCTGGAATAGCTATAACTCATCCCTGTAACCTTTGGAGGATACGCTACAATCCATTTTGTGTTAGCAACACTGCTGCAGCCTATTTATTTTTAAGTTCGTGAAAAAAATGCACCTATTTTCAGTGTCCCCTGGTGTGCACACAACCCAAAAAGTAACAAGTTGACAGAGCTGGTACAAAAAGACTGGCTGCCCAGCCATTAGCCTCCTATAGCAAAAGCTCCAGGGGAAAAAAAAAATCACTGACCCTGGTGTCATCCCTGCCATTAGATGGCACACTCTCTGTCACCAGATCATGGGAAATGCGTGTCCCCCATCTGAGGGTCTCTCTTGAGCACGTCATAAGCTCAAATTCCCAGGCAGGCATGAGTACAGAGCATTACGGTACCTGGATGTGATGGGAGAGGACCCAGAGAGGACCTGCTCAGGTAACCAGCCTCCAGGGCATGGAAGGCATCAAGCACCCAGGCACTGAGCTGCCTACACATGGACTAACATTTGTGCAGCTCCTTACTCCATCACACTGGCTCACACAGTGTTAACTAAGCCATGTGCCTGTGGTTGACAGGACATGGTCTAAGGACTCTGGGCCTTAGAGTCCTTAAAGATCCAAGTCAATGGGAATCTTTCCAGTTATTCAAGTGCTCCTTCGGTATCAACACTTCCAGCTTCAAGACCAGCCTGTTAACTACAGATCTTAGCGTTTGGAATGCTCTGTAAAAATTGTGGGCTTCAGCTATTTACTATGGGGGTGAAAATCCCCTAAAGCATTTTTATAATCTTAAAAACCATCTAGTGAGGCTAGGAATATGCAGGCACGTGGCCAAAGCAGTAAAATCTTCTTGAATATTATACCGCATGTACCAGAGGTACCTTGGCTGCACTCAAAATAAAAACTAGTCAGTTTTGTCACTTTTAATATAACATAACCTATTAACTTTCATCACTGTACTGGGTAAGTAATATGTACACAGGATATAACTGAAGAAATAAATATTGACACATGTTGCTGTTAAAACACTGATTGAAAACTGCAGGCCAGAGCATCAGAGCGTAACAGGGTTTCTTCATTCCCAACATCTCCTTCTCACTTCTGATGTAAATTCTTTGTCCCAAGGCTGCCTTAAATGTACATGAGGTTTGTGTACATGTATATTATATATATATATAAGCATATATATACTTTTTTATACACATATATATAAGCATGCTCACAGAATAACGAGCCCTGAGAAATACACTCTTCCAGCACTCTCTTGGGAGGGTGAGGTTGCTGAACGCAGCTGTTTTCATGATTCACGTCCTCTAAAACCTGCGCACTCTGTGCCTGGCCAGGTGAAAATGCCAGGTACGAAAGGGAAGCCTGTAAATCTGCTTAGCTGCTTCCTTCTGGCAAACTGCCCCCCTCCTCTTTACCTCTACCCAGAACTGGTTAAGCACCAAACACGTCTCGAGACCGAAGACTGGGAAGTACATGTCCTTCCTTCTACCTATAAATAACACCATTCAATAAAAGAAAGACAAATAAAGGTAGTAAATGATATTTATTCCGAGTCTTATTTTCTCCAGTGCACATTTCTTGCAGAATTTTTGATGTGCTCCTCTAGCCAGGGCCGTCTGTGCCCACACAATGACTGCAACCTCCCTCCCACCCCCTCCCACCAAGCTCATTATCCAGTGTCTGACAGAAGCGAGCACCAGCTGCTCTACAAAAAGGCACATGAAACACTTCAGCCAGACATTAGAACATCACCTGCCTATAAGGAAGACGGTTTTTTCCCCCTGTCACCATTACCAACAGATTGATAAAAATGTTGAAATAAAGGTCGATGGTTCTTCAAAAGTCTTGTTACTGTAAAAAAGAAACCCATAACACATCTGGATACTCTATTCCCATTCAAACACCCAATGAGTCAGTGCTAATGGGGCTGAAATTTTACCTCTGACCTTGTCCCTTCATGTTTCCTCTTCGTCAGGCATCTCTAAGGCCCTGCAGCCAGTCACCAGAAACAGGGACATTGGCAGTTTGAGATTCGCATATTCTGGGGCTTTATTGTCATGGCACCTTGTGACAGCAAGTTTCACAGGTAACAAGCATCGTCCTCAGGATCAGTTCATTTATTAACACATACCAACAAGGAATACCTGTGTACACTGTATTATTTCTTTGGCAGCTTACAGCTACCCTCAACTTCATTTAATGACAAAGTAGACAAAAAAAATCTCCTTTTAGTCAAGTGCAAAATTCATAAGCGTAATCTACCTTTGGAAGCTTCTGTGCCAAGTGGATTTTCCAAGAGGTCTGTCATATCTTGGCTCCAAGCATCCTTCACAGCAGACTTAGACACCTTCCTGTTGTTCAGGCTTTGCTGCGGTCGGAAGTTATTCCTCAGGTACTCCACGGACTTGACGTGGTCCTGCTGCTCGGTGGTGAATATGGAGTAGAACGCCTCCAGCTGATCGCAGCCATCATAGCAAGGGAGAGAAGGGACGTTAATTAGAAAAACAATGTGGTGGCTGATAAGAAAGCAAAATGGCAGGAAGTAAAATGTTGATGCCAAGACTGATAAACCCCAGGGGAAGTCAGGCTGCCCACTGAAATCACTGCCAACCGCTTTATCTCAGCACAGTGCTTATCCTGCCCAACAAGGGAGAAGGCCTTCTAGCAACCTGTGGACGTCTGTCATGGGCAGGGAAACATTTGCCCTTAGACCCCTGGTCTGGAAAGATTCCATGTGCGACACATTCATGCCAAACACTCCTCACCACTGGCACCGTTTTGTTTCGCAGTATCATGTCAAAAAGCGCTCCTGAGTCATTCCACCCCAAAAGCCTTCTCCAGGACACGGCAATGCTACCTTATCTCCAAATGCCATACAAAGTTCGGCTGCCAGGCTCAGATTCATAGGCAGGAAGGTCACTGCAGTTGTCACACCTTTATGGGATGAACACCCAAACCCAGCATCTGGCTTGCCCACGAGCAGGCCAGCGGCAGAGTGGAGCAACCTGAGGACTACCAGCTCCAAGTGCCCTGACGTCCCTCCCAACCACTGTTCCCTCTCATACCTACCTACAGGGTGAGAAAAAAATAACACAGAATCAATGTATTTAGGCACAGTTAGCACATTCTCTTCAGGGAATATGTTTCCTCTGTTGGATTTGGATCTGAGCTATTTTTAATAAAATGTATTAACTTGTAAGAAAGAACTGTAATTGGAAAACTTTTCTGTTACTTCATATCTTAGTATTTCTTGGAAAGAAATTTCTAGCAAACTAAGGTGAAAATATTTTCAGCTAATGTTTTTCTCACAGCTATCAAGGTCAGTGTAGCATTTACTAATAGCTTGTTATCATTCAGGTCAAGAACTGGAATTAGTTATGTTGCTGCTGGAAAGACCGAGCAAGACAGAGCAGAGAAGGATTCAGTTCTGATATTGTTTACCCCAACATCAATTACATATATTGACAGTATGGATTTTGGGAGTACAGAATCTGGCCCAAGACTTTAAAAAGGGACTTGAATTATGCTCATAGCTTAATGACAGGTCACTTTGAAAGCTACACCCATTTCATTAAGTGCATCTGCTCTAAAAGCTAGAGAGAACTGTGCAAGTCCTGAGACTTGCAACAAGGAAAAATTATCATTGTAGTGTCAGTTGATAATACTGATAAAAATAATCAAAGGAAGGTGTAATGGAGCAGTTAAGCATCAGCCACTGAACCAAGAGGCACTCACTGCCATTATTTAATTTCCTTTCAAATCAGTAATCTCAATGCCCTTTTGCTGCTGCCCAGTCTGCTGGGCTTGGCAATCCCAGTTATCAGGATTAAATCTGTAAAACTTCTCTGACCCTCAGAGCAGGAAGAGTCCACTTTTACACATTTAATTTCAAAAGCAAGTCCCCTTGGAGTGGGTGGTGCACTGAGCCAGCTAATGGAGTTGCATATAGGAATGTTACTACTGGGAGGGAGAAACGATGGACCACACAGCTCTCATCCGGAGTTTGGCAGCTCTGCACTAAAACATGAAACCAAGGGAACTGAGTCTCGCAATCACCTCCAAGGTAACAGCACAACTCAGGCTTGTACATTTTTAGCAGTAGCTTCCCCCTGATAACAACTACTTTTACTGTACGAGCTGGGAAACTGAGGCAGGGGGACTGCAGGTGACCAGCAGGGAGGGTGAATGCCAGGGACCAATTCCCAGTGCAAGCAGGGAGCTCAGGTACCACTTCCAGTCTTGCAGGTACTGATGGCAGGATTTGAATTGCAATTTGTTTTCATCCTGGATGAATGCTCTGTTCCCTGGTTCTCAACTGCAATGCTTTGATTCCTCAGAGAAACATCTTGAAAACACTTGAAAAGTGTTTCCTAATTATTAGCAGTAGCCCATCAGAAGCACTGACAGATGGGTTAAAAAGGGGGTAAAGGGACTATTATCTTATGCTTTTGTCTTAAAAAACCCAACAGATGATCCTGCTATGCCCTTCCATGAAAGCACAGACCAAACTCTTGTGAACATTTACGTATCTCACACTTCATGCACTGGAAGCAGTTTCGATGAAGCCAGTTAACAGGGCTTACAATTAGTTTATGAAAGCTCAAGAACTTGGGTAACAACTGCTCCTCTGAAGTCAAGTCTCTAGGCTTATACTTCCATGACATTAATTGAATTTTTAAACTTTCAGAGAGAACTTTTAAAATATTTTCTTCTGCCATGCTACCTTGGGGAGGTATAATTGCATTTTAACAACTGCCAACTCAAATATGATTTTTAACCTTCCCCTTTTTATGTGTTGAAGTACATATAAGTCATTTCAACTTCATTTTTACTATAAAAATATTACCTACCACAAATGAGAAATTAATTTATCTATAGCTGCCAGAAAAAGAAGAAGAGCTGCAGTCAAGGAGCTACATTCATGCTCTTCAAGGACTACAAGAGCTCCCGTTCAGAAGATGAAATGAAAAGCTGTTATAAGACTATTGTAGATACAGGGAAACCTGATCTAAAACTCGGAGACATGTAATTACAAACCATTAAAGCCTGATGTGCAGTTTTCTAAGGGCCGGATATACCAATGGCAATTAAAAATACTGAAACTGTTATAAGCACAATGAGATACTCTGAGGTATGCATTATGAGAGATAATGCCATGCTTTGGGTCACTGAAAGCACTTAGCTTTACAATGCATCTGCAGGGTGACACGGCTTGTCCTGTTTTGTTGTCTAATTACAGGGAAAGATGATGATGATGGAGCACTGAGGATAAAATAGAGAAGCCTCCGCAAATGGACCACTTCAGAACTGTCCTTTTTACAGCAAGGTATTTCGCACAAAAGCAGGGATTTAATTGGAACAGCAACAAAGCTTAAACAATATCACTTTCCTCCTCTGGGATTACAGACTGCTTCATGGGGTTTCTGATAAAGAAGGTTAAACTACGGCAATGGATTATGTTGCGCTGTTTCTGTTAGAGGAACAAATAATAATCATAGCAATGGCAGGGTGGCAGGCTCTTAAAATACACCCATCCAGAGCTGCCAAGGGGAAGAATACTATTATTTATTTCACATGTGTTATAGTATCAATGAAAGTCTGTCTACACACAGAATTCCCAGCCCTTCAACCACACATGCATGCAGAAAGCAGCACAACGCCAAATTTAAAAGGCTTGACTTGGCACAGTTATTATTGTACAGCACAGGAAAGAAGCTAGGCCAGGATAAAGTACCTTTATAGTGATGGCCATAATTGGTATTTGCCAGTTTATTTCCATTTGTTAAAAAAGAAAAAAGAAGTCATGATCCACCTGGTGTGCATACAGGGTATAAAACTGAGCGTGGGCCAGGCCTCCCAGCCATCAAATAATAAACAGTAAACTTATTGATGTAGTGAAAAGCTACAAGGGATTGCAAGTATCCTGCAGGCAAGGACAGAATTCAAAATGATCTTGACAATCAGAGAAATAGCCCGAATAAAACAAAGGGTCCGATTCAACTGGGACCACGTGCACAGAGTCCCACGCCTCGGCCAGAACCGCGGGCTGCGTGAACGCATGATGTGCTCAGCGCTGCCAGAGAGCTGGGGAAAGCCTCCAGCAAAGGGGTCCTGCTGACCAGGAGCTGAACACGGGCAACAGCGTCACGTTTTTGTGAAAAACACAAAATAACACCAGTGTGGGTGGCCAGACACATGAATGTGCCACATCCTTCAGCCTCAGGAGGGCTCCAGCTGAAGAGCTGTGACTGGTTTTGAATATGGGACTTCAAAAAAGGATGAACAAGTCTATGGGATCTAGAAAACGTGGAGAAAAGCCTGGAGCAGGGGCATGGTGATTGCCTACGGCCCTTCTGCAATCTTTGAGAACCAGCATCTGCCAGCCATGAACACCCAGTGAAACATTCACTTATGCTTTGCAGAACTGGTGCATTTCAACAGTTTGTTTTCTGGCTTAAGCCAGATGAATCAAATAGGATGGCTTTCTAAAGACAACAATCTCACAATGTCAGAATACACTTAACTGGGAAACATCTGACTCCATCAAGCCCTTACTTTCTTGGGAGCTTTCTTCTCCAGAAAAAGCCCAGACATTGCGTCTGTTTGCATTAAAAGCTGCGCTGTGCTAATTTTAAAGATTTGTGCACCAGCTCTCTAAGCACATAATGGCAGCTTTACTGTGTTATAAAAACAGTTAAGCATGGAGAATTAATGGGAAGTCGTCTTTTCTAATGCAATTAGTTCAAATTACTAAATCTGAGCAGAACTGAAATCACTCACTTTACTTTGAAAAGAAAGTTTCAATTAAAAAGAATAAAAAGGAACTCCATGTAAATATTTACACCATAGCTTAATTTAATCTTAACAAAAACAATACCAAATAAATCACTGAAAGGAAACCGGGTTTCATGTTGTACTGTCTTCTTAAGACTGATGGCTTATGTTCAGAAACAATATTACTTAAGAGAGAAAAAAAATCCACGACACTTCCTTTTTTGTCAACAGAAACATTTTTGTTCTCAAAATTAAAACGCCGGGTTTTGAAAACACCGCCTTGAAGAGGGCAAATCAAGAGATGGGCTTCGCTAATGAAATAAACACACCTGATGGTAAGAAATGGGAACGGGCTTCCGAAAAATGATCCACTCCACGATCTCGCTACACGGAGGAGTAGTCAGAGAACCTGCATAGCGGTAGTAACTCCCCAGCGATGTCGGCAGAAGGTCCCTCAGCACAAAGGGATCCAGGAAGGTCTCCTTCTCTGCGGGGAAGATTGACAAGCAGAGTTACACTTTTTTTATGTGTCTTTAAAACAGACATCACATTGATAGGCAGCCTAACAAGGTGTAATGGCAACAACATATTTTATCATGTATATAATGAAAGATGAAAACACCCTATCAGGAAGGCTCTGTAAGAGCTGATGTGTTGATTGTTAAAAGAGCAGCCAAAATGCTAGTCAGTCCTATACTAAAAGTGCATGGTATTTAGAAGGCGTGCAGGTGTGAAATGCCCTTGTTATCCCACAGGTTTATGTTAGCACAGAAATAACACTGTATTCAGAGGTTTCAGCAAAGGGCTCTTCAGCTTGATGCAGTGAGAGCTCACCAGGACCCAGCAGGACAGAGCTGCGACCCAGTGGTCCTGCTTGCAGCTGACCAAAGACCGTGGGGTGACGCGTCCACCCCATCCCCACCAGTGGAAAGGATGTGGGAGCAGGATCAATCCCTCTGTAGGGTGCTGAGATGGAGGAGGCCGAGCCACGCTGCTCAGCCAAACTTCTCTGGGAGGTGCCAGGGGGATGAGCGGAGGAGCAGGGCTGCAGGGCACATCTAAGCTCAGCGTGGTGCTTGAAACAGCATCCAGCCAGTGCTCATTTGGGACTACCCACACCCGGCAACGCAGGCATTGCTGGGGGTGCTGCTAGAGGCAGTCAGCACAGCACCACAAACACATTTCAGAGCTAAAACTGCTGCCTCCTTGCCCTAATCCAAGAAACTCCTTCCCAGGGTCCAGCAGGGACAAAATCTTTCCTCTGAGAAGCTCCTTGGACAGCCTGAAATGCAAACCTAAGCACTGAAAGCGTTTAGCTTCAAGTAACAGTGACAAGCTGGTAATATTTAATACTGCAAAGAAAAATAAATAAATGAAAGGAGGGAACAGCTGCAGGCAAGACAATTTCCCTGCCATCCCTGAGCATTTATCCTCTGCAATTTATGTTGACTCACAGGTCGAAGCTCCCTCTCAGCCTGTGCAAAGGTGCTCACTGCCTCAGGGCACGCTGACACGCGAGGCTCCCCCATACATCTCTATTCCTCACTTGCTATATTCTTCGTGTCTCAAACAACAGCCTGCATTTGGGCAGCAGGAACTCTTCTCTCTCTGTCTCATCAGAGCTACTAAGCCCACATCCCCCAGCAGAGCGGAGAAGCAGGTAGGCTGGTGATTGACACACACGTCTTCCAAAGGCAGAAGGAAAAGGATAAAGTCTGCAGAATTCACTTCCACACCACCCCACAGATTTCTAGAAGTCTTGATCAGCTCAGGAGTTGCCTACACCTCTGAGCAGCAGGCTGATAACCAGGGGCATCTTTTTGCTCCAATGCTGCTGCAAGGTGCAAACACACCATGCACTTCAGGTATCTTCTATTCTTCTGCACAACATCAATAGGTGTGCAGCGTTATCATAGCCTTTAACTTCCCAAAATAAAAGTAATCCTATTAAAGTCAAAGCATACACTGTAACAGAATACTGCCGTCTCTTCATTAACAATTTCTTTCCTTCTAATCCAAGCAGGTATCAACCACTTCTGCATCACCAAAAAAGAAACAAACAAATAATAAACCACATTTTTTCCTCTTCATAGCATACCTCTGGGGAAAAAAAGAGTGTTTAGATAATAAATATATATGATTGGCCAAAGTTCAAAGAGATTCTAATCAAGAAGTCATAATCATAGCAAAAGGTCGTATTTAATTGGACTGGCTTATTTCTATGCAGAAAAAATTGGTTAGAAACCCACAAACTCAGTCCCAGGATTTGATTTCCAAATGCAGCACACACACACCCTTTCCCAGAGAAACGACATGGGTTTTCTATTAAGAAACTGCCTCTCTCTCTATGGAGGCTGAGCCCACAGTGGACTGCTATGAATCTGAACATGCAAACTTTGCATTAACAGCCAATGACTTTATATGAAATAGATGGGAGGCAGAAGCACATTTGGAAAAGAGCTTTCCTCTTCTATTTAATAAAAAAAAATGCTTCAGTTAAAATTAACAATTTAACTCTTTTTAACATTTATAACCTTTTATTTAGAATGATGGGATCACTTAAGACACCAGATAAACATCCTGTGAGAAACCAAGAATATGGAGCACCCCTTTATCAAAGGATGGCAGGAGAACGAAGCTCATTTTACACTTTCAAGGATTTTTGTGCCATATGCTGACAATATTATATTTTAATAATTAATTGTTCATCAAAGGAAAAGATGAAGAACAGGGATGCTAAATTCAAAGTTATTCAAATTGCAAAAATGAATAATGCATGACTTTTATATTAAATACACACTGTATTAAGTAGTCTACATTTCATCCAACTCTGTCTTTCATTTTTAAATATTTTGAACTACAATATGAATAATCAACCAAGGGAAGCTTATTTAGACAGAGAAATACCTTATTTGAATGCAAAATGGAAGTATCCGACTATGATTAAATTTTGGTTATCAATTAGGGAGGGTTTTTTTCCTAAGCATTTAGAAAGTCATAGTCAGCTATGAAAAAAAGTATTTCTTGAGGAGAAAGTAGCTTTGCTAATACACAGTTTAAGTAGGGCAGGGTGTACTCGATCTAATTTTTCATGGCTACAAGCAACGCTGTAAGTTTTCATTAATTAATGCCAAAGATTAAAATAAAAAAATACATATAATTGGATTAAAATGACTACTAAAATAGATGATAATCAATTGATTATGCTTTAATAACCTAACACTTTTGAAAACAGAGCATTCGTTTGTATCACTTCCACCTAGCTGCATGGTGCGGAGTTTTAGAAAACAGATCTTCATGTGAAGCTTAAAGAAAAAGGGTCTTAGAGATTCAGGAGTCTACCTCCCATGTCATTCAAGAGCCTATAGAAACAGTAAGTGCCATGAAGTTATGTTCCTAGGAGCTGGAGACATTTCTGAAAATGGGATTTTGTACTCATGTCACTTAAAATTTCAACCTTAAATCGGTTATCATTGTTGGTAAGACTGCAAGGAGAATAATTTGCAAGCTAAGCAACAGCATTCACTGAATATGGTAGAAATATTTTACTTCTATACATATACGTGCATAATTCCCACTATATCGGAAAGAAAGAGCAAGGTTGGAAATAATATCAAACCTTTCTTCACTGTCATTTACACCAGCTATGTCCCATTTTCAGTGCTTGGGATGGGCACGAATTGTGCCCAGAAGGGTGGGAACAGGGTAGGGGGTTTCTAGGAGGGATAAAAGGCTGAGAAGTACAGGATCCACAAGGCAGCATTTGCTGACAGGCACCAGGAAACAACTGGCAGACAGAAGCAATAAAACACACCAGTGAAAACATGTGTTCACCTGCAAACACCTGTGAACTGCTGCAATCAATGCTGCAAAACCGGCCCATCACCTCCTCATTCTTACTCATAAACCAGAGCCCCACATCGAAGCCACCTCTGCTGCTGCTGCCCGTCCAGCTCCCACCTCAGCACCCAAACAGGAAAATAAACCAGCAGGAAATGGGAGCCCCAGAGATCATGGCCCTAATGACAAGCCCTCCAAATAGAGAGCAATCCTCTGGGAAAGCAATGATAAATGTGCTGCAGCGGCCACTGCCACCCGAAACATCCACCGAGACGCCCCGCTAACGCAGTACAGCCAATTTTACTGACAGCCACCAAACAGCAATGCTCTGTCTACAGCACCCAGGCTCATAGGAAAGCGTTCACTCTTGTATTTCCAAAGGAGAAATTAGCAAATTACCACAGATTCACTGTTGACAATTAAGACAATGAATGTGACATTTAAACTACTGAGTGTTGCACAGCATAAAAGGACAATATTGTGTTTTAACATCTACATTCACAAAAAAACCCAATTAACAGAGCCAGCAAGTAACGTATTTGACCTTCTGATACAACATTCATGTCTACCTCTTGGTTCTTCTCCCACACCAGCAATGTGAAAAGTTGCACCCAGTATATTTTCTTTTTTTGGCTGGTAAATCTCCCCGCTGGTTTGCATTGGACCAGGGGCCATTTTATTGTACCCAAAGGCACAGCAACTGCAGGCATGGTTTAAAAAGCTGACCTATTTACACTTTTTATTTGTCAAAGCATCACCACTAGATGTGAATCACAGAATCACAGAATATGAGGAGTTGGAAGGGACCTCGAAAGCTCATCCAGTCCAACCCCTGCCAGAGCAGGATCACCAAGACTAGGCTACAGAGGAACGTGTCCAGGTGGGTTTTGAATGTCTCCAGAGAAGGAGACTCCACAACCTCTCTGGGGAGCCTGTTCCAGTGCTCCATAACCCTTACAGTAAAAAAGCTTTTCTTCATCTTCAGCTTGAACCTCCTGTGCTCCAGCTTGCTCCCACTGCCCCTTGTCCTGGCATTGGACATCCCAGAGCAGAGCCTGGCTCCTTCCTCCTGACACTCACCCTTTCCAAATTGATCCCCATGAATGAGGGCACCCCTCAGTCTCCTCTGCTCCAAGCTCAAGAGCCCCAGCTCCCTCAGCCGCTCCTCATCAGGAGATGCTCCACTCCCTCCATCATCTCTGTAGCTCTGCTGGACTCTTTCAAGCAATTTCCTGTCCTCCTTGAACTGAGGGCCCAGAACTGAACACAATATTGCAGATGTGGAAGGAGAACCTCTCTGCCCTACAACCACCCCTTCTGATACACCCCAGGATGCCATTGGCCTTCTTGGCTGCAAGGGCACATTGCTGGCTCATGGTCATCCTGCTGTTCACCAACACCCCCAGGTCCTTTTCTGCCTGGCAGCTCCAGCCACTCGTCCCCAAGAATTCTGCACAATAGTTTCCAAGCAGAAGAAAAAAAATCAGATTTTAAAACAGATACCAGAGGTGGATCAGCACCAACTACTGCAGATTTCACAAGCTGATGACAACAAATATTATATTGAAAGAGCCATCAGTTGAACATTTTGAGTTCAAGGACTGACTTGCTAAAAATATATTCTGTAAAATGCTGGATAAAGACAGA